TAAATTGGAGTAAGACAAGTATATTTTTTCTCATTCTAGCTTACTGCACTAGTTCACCAGTGCAGGAACAGAAAACAAGCCCAAAATATGCTTGTTCTACTCTAATTTATTGCAGTAATTCACCAGTGTAGGAACAGAAAACAAGCCTTATGTCTCGTGCGTTCGAGTCGTTTACCCTGGCGATCGACGACGCGTATCCCAGGCGTCACTCCGTGCACGAAGCCGGGAGATCCAGCGACAATCGTGGAATACCGTTCGCCGAAAGTACCCTCTGCTCTCAGTGAAGATTCCAGCGCGTGCTCGCGCGGGTATTTTTGGTTATGTTCTTGCGTGGTCGACTCCGAGTCACGGCGTCTTTGCGCGGGAAGAGGCGGAACGGAAGAGGGACGATCCCGCGCGCACCAGATGGCGCTCGCGGCTTTGTTTTGGCGGGAAAATCGCGCGGCAATCGCCGCTCGTCTCGCGCTCGTGTGCCACTACCCGTCGTGAGTGCCGTGCCCGGAGGATCGACTTCCAGCGACTCCCGGGGGGACTACGATTTCTTCGGGAAGCGTCTCGAGTCACGTTGGGTCCCACGAACGTCCGTTATTCGATCCTCGTCGATTCAGGCGTCAGCCGGTTTCGAGCGAAACGCCCGAGCGAGTGAACACCCGCCCGAGTAAACACACGCCCGATCGTCAGCCGGTGAGTGGCAACGTTGACCGAGGATCGACGTGGAGTTGCTTTATTGTCCGTTGAATCGCTCGGCAGTTATTCTGTCGAGTTGCTACTAGTGCGATATTTCAACGTTCTTGCCTCGAAACGGTGGGAAATATTTTGTCAAGTTAATTGTGTTGAATCATGGAGACAATTCTAGCGTTGCTACACCAGTAAACTCTATACATACCGGAATGAGTGATCTATTGTTCTGGCTGTTGCCGAGAGAGAGAGGTGCGTTTGGGTGAATCCTTGTCTCCTTCTAGTACTACCTGATTGGATAGTCGCATATAAATAACGAGAAGAAGGGCGTCACTTATATGCGATTATCCAATCAGATAGTACTAGAAGGAGACAAGGATTCACCCAACGCACCTCTCTCTCGGCAACAGCCAGAACAATAGATCACTCATTCCAGTATGTATAGAGTTCACTGCCAAGGATCGACGTGGAGTTGCTCTATTGTCCGTTGAATCGCTCGGCAGTTATTTTGCCGAGTTGCTACTAGTGCGATATTTCAACGTTCTTGCCTCGAAACGGTGGGAAATATTTTATCAAGTTGTGTTAATTGTGTTGAATCATGGAGACAATTCTAGCGCTGCTACACCGTCGCTTTTTGTTTACGCTGCAGAAATTACCGACTTGCCACCAGTTATAATAATGCTTTATTCCGATATACACAGTGTGGCTAAGAAGTTTTAGGACTGAACTTGTAAAAGAAACGGAAAGGGCAGTAAAAAAATTTTTAATTACTAATTATTCCACGTATGACCCTTGTGAAGCTACACGTCGGTTGGTGCTGGAAATCCTTTGCTGGAATGTCTCGTAGATCCCTCGTAAAGTTGCTTCGAATCGTTTTGATATCGTCGAATCGCTGTCCTCTTAGCTTCAGTTTAGCTTCCGTACAAGAAGTAATCCGCTGATGCCAAGTCTTTTTCTTTTCAAGTCTGGATCACGATTTAATGTTTGAAGAAGATCCTGAGAAGCAGCCACGCGATCCTCCTTTTGCTCGGTTGTCAGTGAATGCGGAACAGAACGTGCGCACAACGTCTTCTTTCCCAGATCCTCAACAATTATTGTACGGACAGTTTCTTGGTCGATGTTGAAACTCTGCGAGCATTTTAATGGTTATCCGACGATCGCTTTTCAACTTTGCGCGGACAACTTTGATGTTCGAGTCAGATCGACCGGTGCGAGGACGCCCCGTTCTTTCGTTATCCGCAACGTCCTTCTCTACCATCCCGAAATTTTCCAAACCACACGTTCGATCGAGACACACACTCGTCGCCGTGTGCATTCTGCATCATTTGATAAGTTTCGCTAGCAGTTTTGCCGCTTTCGAAACGAAACTTTATCGCATACCTCTGTTCCAAATGTGACTCCTTTACGACAGTAAAACAAAACATGCAATGTGCAAAACGTCGTAACACGATAAGGACTCGTTATGAACTGATGCAATGTGGCATTTGCAATCATAGGACCTTGGACTATGTAGTTCTGTTTGTCGCTAACACATGGCACAACCTTACGCCGTTTCTATTACATCAGCCCTGAAACTTTTTGGCCATACTGTGTAATTGTGTTTTATACGCCTGAGATACATCTATGATCCGATTTCAGTAAATTTGCATTTACGCAAAGGGAATGAGGCCCGGTTTCACGAAACGTCGCTTAACATTAATCTTAGTTTAATTCACGTTTGTCTCTTTCTAAAGTAACGGTTGGAAAGAGACAAAGAACAAATTAAACTAAGCTTAAAGTTAAGCAACGTTGGTGAAACCGGGCCCAAGTAGAAGGAATAGAGACGTAAAAGCCTAATATGAGGATACAGTAACGGGAAGAATTTATTTTGAACGTTTTGAGAAGTCAAAAACGCCGCAGACTATAGTTTTACGTTGTAATGACCGAGGGGTAAACCGCTGACGAAAATCACGTACACCAATGCTTACTAGTGCCCAGTGGGCATCACCTTATCTTATTTTATCTTTATAATACCCCAGCAACAAGACCTAACGTTCCAAAAATGCCCAGTAATGCTGAAAATCTGTACCCCACAACGCCCTCAGCGGTTTACCCCTCGGTTGACTCATTACAATGTAAATGACAAGCGGAAAACACAAGGTGATAAGATTTGTTATGTTATTATATATCCAGGTAATAATATTACCTGGATAGTTTCACGAATCTGATGTGTACGACTCGTACATAAAAGATATCTTGCTAATTTAAAATACTAAACTGAAGTTGAGATATATTTGAAAGGAAAGTCTTTATCAAAAGATCACAGCGAATGTATCCTAGCTGATAACAGATGATCAATATTTATTAAGAACGTATGATATCCTTTTGTCGTCATTTTATCTCGTTGCGTTTGAGTATCCTATCCTGTTGATAAACTAGCTACTTATTGTAAGTGATACACCGTCACTGTTTATACGATATCTTACTGAGCTAAGCAGATCCTGTGTCTTATGTGCTGAAGCAAATGCATTCGTCTGTTAGGCAAGGCAGCTCTTGAAGCCTTCATCAAAATGTCCGGCTCCATTGGCAAACTGTACAGACGTCCCTTCACCGTGTGCGTGGAGGGCAACATAGGAAGCGGCAAAACGACGTTTCTAAGTCACTTCAAGAAATTCGACAATGTCACTGTGTTGGAGGAGCCGGTCGAGCTTTGGCGCGACGTGTCCGGGACGAATCTGTTGGTGAGAAATATTTTTGTTAAAGAGCTTAAGAGACAATCTCTTATCAATATTTTGTATTTTCGTTACTCTCATTGTTGCTTCGCTGTGATAGTCGATTAAAATGATGTTTTAAGTGATTATTCAATATATTGAATATTATTTTTTAGAATATTAATAGAGGAAAGTCCCTTAATGTGAGATAGCATTTTACTAAATTAATAGGCATCACCTACTGGTTTCATCGTTAATTTATTGCTCTTGGAATGAAATCTGTTTAGTGAAAAATTGATTACTAGATCGTGTAATCGTTGTGAATAAATATCTGCGATTAATTTTGACGTTGAAAACCTGCTATCTCATAATAGAGGACTTTCCTCTATACCTTTTACTTCGGTTTCTCTTATCAAAAGACATCTCGAATTTGTATACATTGGATAAAGCATTTGTAAGGAAAATAACTAAATTAATATCTCGTGTAAAGTATATTTGGAAAAAAGTACTGCGTTCATTGTATATCTACATTAATAATAATAGGAATAACGGACATTGCAAAATTACATTTCAGGAAATGATGTACGCCGAACCGTCTCGTTATGCCTTCCTGTTCCAATCTTACGTACAACTGACTATGCTCCAATTGCACACTTGTAAGACACCCTCGCCGTACAAAATTATGGAGAGATCCGTATACAGTGCGATGTGCTTCGTCGAACAATTAAAACGCAGGGATGTACTGCGCGATGTTGAAGTCACTGTCTTAGAGAACTGGTATGACTGGTGTTTGAAAAGTGCCAATATAGAAACCGACTTGATAAGTACGTATGATTTTGTGAGACATGATTACAGCATTGAGGGCATATCTATTTACTTATCTCCGTTTTATTTCTGTTGCTGAATAGTATACTTGAGGACAACACCCGAGATCGTCTACGAGAGAATGAAGCAACGAGGTCGAAAGGAGGAGAACGCCGTATCGTTGGAGTATCTGAAGCAAACCCATCAGATCCACGACGACTGGCTCTATCACCAAACTCTGAAGCCGGTGCCATCGCCGGTTATAACCATAAACGGCGATCGAGAGCTTCACGAAATGGTAGAGGAATTTGATAAGTGTAAAAATGAGATCTTTAGCAAGGCGATAGACGATAGCGAAGTTAATAATACGATGATTGCGACCGTACCGACAAATCGGGTGCTACCCGAAATCAAAGCTGTCTCGGATTAAGTTGTAGAATAAGGAAAGATAAAAATAATTTAAATATGGTTGAACCGAACATGCCGTGTGCATTTACACTGATTAGTTATTTCCTGTACGTACAACTTTGTACTTGCGTTGTTCCACCAACTGCATTTACTACTCTCATTACATATATTTACTTCTTTTTGAAATTTATCTTATTGTGATATTGTATGTAATTTCGTTTTATGCAATACGTGATTAATCGATTTTCATATGAAAAAATTAATTTTACATTCTGTTGATATTCAAATTACAAAATTAATACATTTTAAATTATTCACGAGGGACTTATGTCTGACGCAATGCATATTTAATTGAGTTTTTGATAAATTGTTTGTTTAAAATTAACTATTTCAAAGAATTATTTGTAGTTAATTATTCTAAGTAAATCTATGTATTTAAATACAGGGTGGGGCAATAATCCTAATAGTTATTGCCCCACCCTGTATATCCCTTATAACATATATAATTAGATTTTTTATCAACGAGTACAAAATAACGTTAGTACTAAACAATTTGGGAATATGAATATCTACGGAGATATTGCGTGACAATGATAAATTACTTATCACGGATTCTATAAAAACGTGCAAATACGATTATCTTGGAAAATCAATTGTATCCAAAAATGTTTTATTCCTTTTTATAAGACTGTTTTGCAAAACGTTTTGGAAAAGGAAGTATAAAAACGCACGCAATATATGGGAATACGAGTATGTGAATGTATGATAAGAGAAAATCTGAGAATATAAGGATATACGAGAGAAAGATACACGTGTTCTAATTTAAAAAGTAAAAAGAAAATATATTTATTATATAACGCAACTATATGCGAATGCATACACTTCAATTTTAGATAACGCTGGATTTAAGTGTGTAAGGCTGCATACGTATGTCTTGAATGTATGTGAACTTATATGATGACTCAATGAAATACATAACATTTGGAGAATTGCATGTTTATTCCTGCTAGATTTTACAAAATGGGTTAGAGATAAGTACAAAAAAATGCATGTGTATACACACGCATTGAAATATTACGTGTAGACGTATGTATCGAGCAAAGCGACGTTGGATTCGTCCTTCGTTTTCTTGTATTATTAACCAGATCATGTATCTGCTCAAAACGCAAGCTCGTTGCCATTTCGTACAATGTTGGATCATACGCTGAATGCAGATTAGCTCTGCCAACAATATTCTTTCAGTCGATTCTTTCCGACATGTTAGACGAGTGTAGACGACCTTCGCAATCGGAATGGTGCGCATACCGCGTGTCTATAAACTACGCGCTAAAATACAATATGTATAAAAACTAAGTTATCTCGAGTAGAAAAAATCACAATCGCTTGTGTAAACGTATGTACAATGTCAGGTAGAGATTTCCACGTGCCGCGCCCAACTAAGACGGATTCTTGCGAGCTGCAGCTAATCGCTCGACGCAGTCGTACTCTTGGCAAGACCACAGTATGCTGACTAACGTGCCGAGTTGAGCATCCCGTGTATTGGCTTGCTTCCAATCGAGCAGTAGCTGATAGATCACCTAAAATTATCGCACATAAATCAAAATCGGCATAAATCGCGCGTTACTAGACATATTTACGAGTTTATAAATTTTATATGAAATATTTAAGATGAGCCACATGTTTTATTTATAGCGATCTTGAACCGGTTGAATTGCAAATATCTTCTTGCTCAAATAAGATTACAGATTGATAATCGCGATAATCGAGTAGTGAATCATTCGAGATGAAATATTTGATGCCTGGAATTCAATATTTACCTCGTCGATACCCTTGTGCCTGTAATTCTCCTCGAATTGATCGATCTGCCCGTCCGAATACGAGAGTCTCCTCGCGATATCCCGCCACCCGTGCCCGATGTGTGTCTTAATAGTGAGCATGTCGTCGAACCCGAGCTCTTCCTCGCACGTGCTCAACTCCTCCACGTTGTCTGGCATCGGCCGATACTTTGGCTTCGAAGCCGCCTCGGGCTGCGCCGCGTTATTGTTCGCCGAGTACTGATTTACATTGCATATGTAACTCGTGCGCGAGCCGATCTTCACCCCATTAGAATTGACTATGTTGTAGTTTACAATATTCGTACCTTGCGCTGAAATTTAATTTCATATATAATAGTTATTGAAGAAATGTCACGGATATATATTTGTTTGAAAGAGCGCCGAGATGCCGTAACGAAATTTTCTCGCGATATAAATTGATCGTGCTCGTTAAACAGTTGCATTAAATAATCGCTATCTTGAATATAACATTTCAATTGATCGTTAGACACAATTCTAAAAATCTACGGTAAATTCACCTTATCTATAAATAATTATCGCGTAACTAGGGCGCCTAGATAACGTGCTTCAACTCCCCCCGATGTCGTCGCTCGATCTGTTTCAATATCGTAACTACCATGTATCTATATATCGTATTAGTTATCCTATCGCGAGGAATAATCCCGAGATTCGAAGCAGCGAAAAATTTCCGGATGATACGTCAAATTTTATCTAAGCTATTACAATATATCTTCACGATTCTGCCGCGACAATAAAGTCTCACGAAATAAATTTTAAAAAAATTGTGCGGCATAAATTTTTGAATTATCGCTTCGAGAACGAATCTGCTATATCTATGCACGCAGAAACCGCAGATGCGAATCAAAAGATCGACAAATGTTTGTTCGCGAATGGAATAATTTATACTACAGTTGTTTGCGGTTCGAGCCAAAGTGTGCAAGAGCCGAAAATAATATTTTTTCGTTTTTTTAATACCTCGGCAAATATAAATTTATGCGCAGCTTGGTATTCCCCGTTCAAGTTTACGGACTTGATCGTGATAACGTGTCACGGTCGTAAAAATATTTATAACAGGGATATGTGGAGCGAGATACTTTCGTTTAATTCGACTGCATTCGATTTTAGTAAAATCGCGACGTTTACGCGGCATGACATCGCTTCTAAGCAATTCTTCCTCCGAATCGTCCCGCTAAGTAAATTCTAATGCAAATGTCATACGTCAACTTGTCGAAATACGCACGTAGCATTACGTAATCCTCTTTAATTGCATCGTGTCTTCTTCCTATTTATGTAATAAGGATTATCTCTGTTTGTAAAACTAAATTTAGTCGCAAAAACATAGAATCATAGAATTTGGCCGAGAAATGTTCAAAATTGCATAAATTTCATAGCCTGTTTTCATATGTATATTACTTGATGCTCTCTATAAAGCAAATGTATTTCACGTGAAAATATCTGAATATATTCTCGCCGGTTGTCATCCACTATAAATGTAGAAACACCGTAGTAAGGAAAAATGTTTCAGATGAAAGTTATGGAGCGCGGTAAAAAGTACTCGAAATAAAATTCCGGACGACGCTTCGTGTTGAAAATTACACCGCTCTTTACGGCTACTATAACGTGCTTATTATGACTTACAATATTTGCTTACAATATTTGTATTTCGGCTTCGTTCTCGTCCTTGGTCGCTTATACTCCTTCGACTCGCTCGTCGACCTCGTGTCGCCAAGGTCTTCCGGTTTTGTACAAAAATCGGTGGGTGTTGTCGGTCTCGCGTCGTCCGGGACCGACTTTTGCCCGTGCATCGACGACGTTACCTCGTCCTGCTCCTTTTCCGGGGTAGCGGGCATCGACTTCGACTGCGTTTTCGTCGACTCCTCGTCCAGGGTCGTTGTAAGATTGTGCATGTAACTCCCGGTCCGCGGTGGATCCGGTTTCGCGTCCGTCGTTAACATATCGTGAAACCGTCGCGACAGCTGGGATAGGAGCGGCATTTTCTTAAATGCCCGATATGCCTGCAAATGATAACGTTAGGATGCTTTAACGATCTGAAATTCTTTCGAATAAGAACAAAATATGCTACGACGTTTAATGTGTCCTGATGCAATTCTCCAAATGTTCGGATATTAAATGAAAGGAAGAGCCGCGTTATGTATTCTTACTTTACTTTGCAAACTGAAAAGAGACGCACGGTATAGCTCGTGCCTTTTCAAGTTTCGCATTCATTTCGTACGTACAATGCTATACACGATATTTCTCAATGCCGCGATTAACGTCAAACCAGCCGCTCCTCACATTATTCCTCGTTAAGTAGAGTCAGTAGCCGGACGCAGCATTTTCCTTAGAGGTACGCGTTTATTATACTCTCGCATTGTCTTACGAAAAGTATAGCCGAATCTACAATGTACTTTCTGCGTCTAGAAACATTATATTTTGTTGAGACGGCAAACTTATAGTCAACCCAACTGGCTAGTTATTTAATTAGTTTATTACATACGTTTCGACCCTATTCTTTTGGGTCCTTTTCGAGTGATACTGCGATTATATTTTGTAGTGAATAAAAATGTTTAAAAAATTTCTGCAAGTCGATTAATTGTACAGTATACATTGTATAATCGTATATTGTCGACAAGTTCACCAAGCGTGTTGATTTGTTTAAAATATGTATTAAAATTTGTATAAAATAGAATGTTTGTAGATGCAGAAAGCGCATTGTAGATTAGGCTTATGAGACAGCTGCGAAGCGTGGAAAAACATTTCACGAAAGTACCAAGTCCGTGCGCGATGAATTTGATCAAAATTGGTTCATCATTTCTCTCAACACATGTTTTTCCTCATTATAATATTAATTTAATTTCTAGTTCTTGAAAACTTGACGGCATATCTGCCCTTATTAATAAATCGCAGCGACAGTAAAACTGAAGTGATATCGGTGAAACGCAACTCCACGATATTTGAATAGATCCTTTTCCGTGCTGCCACGGACATGCCATTACCGTAATTATATGCGATTCTGAAATTAACGATCCACTTATACCCACGTGCTTCCGGCGCTATTGTCAGACGCATACAAACACTCAATTGTACGGTATTCTTTCGGAACGAGTCTGTGAAAAACAATCAGCAATATGGAATTGATACGCTATTGTGCGACACTGCGCTGTAATTGAATGTACAGGTGACTTCACATAAGGCGTTCGATTGAAAGTCTAGAATGCTATCCGAGAGATCTGTATAAAGCTGTAATGTTGCAGCACTCAAACATCGCAATTGTACAACAGTCAAATCTAAATGTCATGCTCGTTGAAATAGTTCGAGTTAACATTCTGAAATATTACGAAGGAAGATTATCTCATGATTCTTACGGGGGAAGTTTATCGCGCAGATTTTCCCCAAGCTTCGCGCAAGGAACGCGATTTGAATATTGGTAATCCCTCGCCTCGCGTCGTCTTTTTCGCACTAACAAACAATATGGATAAATCCCACAAACGGAGGATCTCGCGATTAGCAAGATCTGTCTGAGTCATCCGAGGCGATTCTTCTCGCGATTGAAAAAAAATGGCTGGAAATTCCGACGTTCTCCTCGGTCATGTGCTTGGCCCTGATAAAAGAAGCTCGAGATTACGTTGACCCTCGCGCGGCAGTTTCCTACACGCCATACCCGGAGAGTTTCTAAATACCGCTGTGTAAATCCGCGATAAATACCAGCGTGTAAACTACCGAAGTGTTATCTGGCTATCAGTCGATACGCACTCTTCCCGTCCACTTTTCACACACAATTGATACAATTCTGCCGATCGCCCGTGGGCGTATGTAAACTCGTTTAATTCGACGGTGGACTTTTATTTCAGAGTTTTAATCCGCTTTGAAAACACCTGGATTCAGTAAATATCTCGACTTTCTTCTCGAGCGGCGCGAAAGTAGAAATAAACATACATCTTATGGTGGCATTTCAGCCCGAAGTATATTCTCCACGTAGTACGTAGCGAAAAGTAATATTCCTATTACGTAATCGCAGATGTAATTTTAGAAAGCTAGAACTAATGGAACTTAAATCTCAACATGAATAACAACATTTAGCTTGGCAGTCGATTTCAGCCTTTTCTTACGCAAAGTATTAATTTTCAAATGCTTATCTCCGTTAAAAAGACGAAAGAGTATCGCGTCCAACGAAATTTTTACCGTTGAAAAGTCTGAAGTTATCAGATACACTCCCAAACTTTGAAGGCTTACGATGTATTTTGTACACACGTCGACAAGCATAAATCTGTTTTCGTTAGGCTACACGTGCAAACTTCTTGGAATTGTGTTATTTGTATACCGATAAGGCGATTCCGCGTATGTACCTGTTGAAGACGACGGTGTATTTTTAACCGCAGACATGTCGCGGATGCGAAAGCACTTGGAATTACGCACGTGTATCATACCTGTGTTGAGATTCAAATATTTCAATCGTTTCCAATGAAACCTACCTTCTGTTTTAATTAATAAAAGAGAAGGCAATCTTATATCTATTCGAATATATTGCTATTTCCTGTGTTCTATGACACGAACACGCGGTGCTTCTTCTCGCTATCAGTCGTGACCCACATGCAATCTTTTCGCCGCGATGATAAACAGCAAAGTTCATAATGATACTACACGGAGAGAATTTTCTTTTAAAATGTGTCCTGAAAATTATGTAATCGTGGGACAACAAAGCATTTCGAAGAAGAGCTTTTTGAAATTTCACCATACGTTTCACTAGTAATTATACTTAGTGTACATTTTATACTAGGAAAATGTATGGTAAAATTTCAAAAAAACTCCCATAAAGTTCTTCAAAATGCTTTGTTGTCCCACGATTACATAATTTTCAGGACACATTTTAAGAGAAAATTCTCTCCGTGTATGCAGTGCTATACTGAAATTAGCAAAAGGGAAGAACATGTGTAAATTTGATCCTGGAGAAGCTTTCTATGCGTGATGAAGCTACACAAGGGAAAACGTATGTGATCTGCGAGTGCAACGACCCATCTATTATTACATTAAACGTGTGAATCACTCGAGATGCGTAATTAAACAATCGACCAAAGGTCAGTTGTCGTCCTCCGCGACGCGCTTTCTCTCTGCAATACAATTGTAGAGGAATAACAACGGAATACACTGTACCGTTGGATTTACACAGATAATCTTGAAGAAAACAGTGACTCCGTGGCTTCGTGCAAGAGAACCATCAGACTTGTCGGACAATTGCTTACGCAAGGAACGCAATGTTTTCATCACTGATAAACGCATAGATTATTAAATCAAAATCAATCGAATATGTTTGAAAAGTTTGAAAAGAAATGATAAGACAATTATCGATGTACCCCCTCTTTTTTAGCTTCGTACATTCAAATATTTTGTTGATAACAAAGTTGTCTTCTTTTTATCAATTAAAACAGAAGGCACGTTTCATTGGAAACGATCGTAAAATTCAGGATTACCGGTTTAAGCGCTCGGTAAGCAAACGCGCACCTTCGTAACTTTCGCAAACAAAATTAATCACGCCTTCGTGAATTTCAAGTGAAGTAACTCAAACGGAAGAATTATGCAACGGGTTTCGCACAATTTACATTATCGTGCATTATTTACTATGTTTTTGCAGACTGCTGCGAGACGCATTTAGTCAATCCGGCATTCGTAAAAATCGAGTAAAATAGATTGCTCGAAAAAGCGCATCGTGTTAACATCTGCATTTAATGAAGTAATGAAGAATGATTAGAATATGACGCGAACTATCCGAGTCATAGATACTTTTAAATTAATATAATTTTGTAACATCTCGTTCCATGTAACAATTAATTAACATGCTACTTGTACTTTTAACTTATTTAGGTAACGCCGTTTGTTGCTGAATTTTTCGCTGAGCCGGATGAGTACAGTGAATACAACGAAGATAAGAACGTTAAGAGATATTGAGTGCCGTTGACACTTCGCGATAGACAGTTTAGGTATCATTGGGCGATCGAGTATCCATCCATTAATATAATAAATAAACAGTTATGACGGATACGAAATGCGTAATAAAATCTAAAGGTTCACAAATGTTTAAGTGTACAAGTTGACGAATAATGCAGCCGATTTATTTGCGTGTCTAATTTAAAAAATTTTTACAACGACGCTAATGACCAAAATAGTTTTGAAGCTACTCAATTTAAAAAAAAAGTCAATTCTAATCGTATGCAAGTATACATGTACTTGAAATTATGCTATTTTAGAATCAATATATATATTTGTAATATTCATAATTTTGTGAAAGCAGACGAGAACAACTCGATTATATACATATATCAATGCGTTTTTTAAAATAAACTTCTAAGATAACGATTTAACAATTTAAATTCTATAGATAATGCGAAAGAGTAGGTTTTATGTAGCACCCGTTGTATTACATAATTGCGACCGACAATTTTAAGCGACGTTGCTATGAATCATCATATGTTTTTTTATCGGACACAATCTGGAAATAGAGGTTTCTCCGAGGGGCAAACCGCTGACTAAAATCATGTGCACCGATGTCTACTAATATCCAGTGGGCACTTTATCTTGTTATCTTTTTCAGCGATTTATCCCTCGGGTTTCTCTTCACGAAACCGTGAGCCCTGACGTGTCATCGGCGGTGAGCGCTGCAAAAGTGTATTTGCACGGTTCAGCGATAACTGCACGGCTCAAACGAGACGCGCGTACGTACAAAACGACCTTGCTACCTGGATTTTCCAGCGGCAAAACCAGTTCCAGATGTGGCGACGCTAATGAATTTGACAGCACACGACAGACAAACGTAGAACGGAGGCCAAAGCCTCCATCTTACTAATAATGATAAAGCTCGTCGTGACACAATATTGTATGGGATTTCCATATTAACTTCGTGGACTCTGCGAATTTTGTTTGTATATCCATTTAGAATCTACAAAATCTTCAGTACACTGAATACAGAATATCGAGCTCAATTTTGCGACTTGGCCGAACAATTTAACTATGTGTGTTAATATTAATTTGAACAATCTCTGCGATACAAAGCCATTTTACTCGACGCAGCACAGTTCTTACACAGTAGTTTATATCACAATCGTTTGTGTAATCAAGAGAGATTATCAAATTCGCTTGATTGATTATTAAATTGGCTCGGACAATCGAACGTATATTCCGTCTATTTGGGTATTTCTGGTCTTCGGCTAACTCATAACATGCAAACTCACGACAGATATGCTACTTATCTCGACTCAATGATTTATTGTGTAAATATGTGTATACTGACCCTTGACTATTTACTGCAGGGTCAAACCCAATTTCAGCACGGGCATTTCAAAGTGTAGAAAACAGACAACGCTCTTGTACTTTTTTTTGTAATCTTGGGTATAGCTTGATCTTCATTAATCGCGTAGGCAAATCGTGAAAGATCAAACATAAAATAAAGCAGCGTGTTTAATAGGGTAAAACTGAATTTACTCAAGTTATAAACCGTAGCAATGGCAAGATTCATCTAGCCTAAGAACTGAAAACGGATTATAATCTTGCCGAAGGCTTAAAGAGACATTTATGTCCATTTCTCAGATTAACTTTGATCTCACAATCAGTTTAAGTTACTGTTTAACCTTCTTCTAGTTTCTGGAATTGGAAAAAGATGAGGACTCATTGTTAGTTAAACCGGAATTAAAATTAATCTGCATTGGTATTATAAAAATATGGGCATTACTCGCAGATGCGTCTCATCAAATGCAGATGCGATCTACCATAAATTCCTCCTGGGAAGTTGCCAATCGGCGGCCGCGGTAATTAAACGAGGATTTCGATATAACCGATACGTGACTCTAAGAACATGTGTTAAAACCGCAATCTTAAAACCTGATAGTGACTTGCACAAGTTGTAGATATTTTAATCGGCACAACAGGTTAGTTGAAATAATATTCTGATGATCGTCCCTTTTTACACGCATAACTAAATATTCATAAATGCAAATCGTCTCGCAATCGAGCTCAGATTTCTAATTATAAATTGAGGGGTCTGCAAACAAAACACATCAAGTAATAGTCATCCCGTATACGTGTCATTATTAACATCCATCTCGTAATTGCCAAGTCACAACGCATCTTACTGTTAGCATAAATTATTAGTCGTAAACGTATTATGCAACAATTTAGCTAAGAAAATTGTGGTTTAAAAACGTTATCTCTCGTGCTACGCGAGGAAAATACTTTAATCACGAGTCTCTTTTAATATGTATATCAATAATTTTTAAATTAATAATAAATTGTGGTGTAACACGTGAGTGTCGCACCACAAAGACTTATTATACTAAAATACAGCATACAGTTATTCAACTTTTATTCTTTCTTTTCTCATACATTACAACTTTGTAGACAATGACAGCTAATCACTAGTTAAACCTGCTCGGCTAGATAACTGTCGACGCACTTAAACCCTCGAAATCCTGTCCCATTTGTTTGCGACAAGAATTCCGTGCATCGACATTGGAATGCACTTTCTTTCACGTGACTCAGAATTGAAAATTATACCAAGGCCACATTACTATATTTAGTGTTGCCTCGCGATAACACCGAATCCGATTTCTAACAAACAAGATTCCGATTTTCGAGACTTGCCTATTAAATGAAATTTATGGGATCAGTACTGATTTTAGATATCTAAATTCCAATCTTTGATCGCGAGTCTTTTTCAATATATCAATAACATCAAAATTACTAACAAATTAGTAAAAATATTAAAGCAACACTCACGTGTTACTTTACAAAGACTTATACTATGGTACAGCATACAGCTATAGGTATCTAAATTCTAATTTTGATGTAAGAGTTTCGAAAATATAAGCATGCATCATTACATAATCGCTCGACTGACCAAGATAATTTATGAAGCTTTGCCTAATCGATTCCTAGAAACGTTCATTAACAAAGCCATTAATAAAAATAATTGTTTCCAAGTGTACCAGACAATGTGTGTATTTTATTACAGAGCCGGTTTGATTTCAGTACTATCCTATCATCCTATTTCCTTTCGTTAGCGTCAATTTTATTTATTATGAACAATCAGTACTTATCTCATAAATCTCACTTAATAAGGCAAGTCTCGAACAGCGAAATCTTGTTCATTAGAAATCGCATTCTCGAATCGGATTATCTGGCCAAGCGAGTTTAACCAGTGATTAGCTGTCATTTTCTGCATAGCTTTAATGTATAAGAAAAAAAGAACAAATGAAATATAGCATTAATACCGAGTACACCATATGTACCAGACACATTTCCTTTCTCTGTTTTTTTTACCAATTACTTCACAACTTGGAAATAAAGAAAAATAAAGAAAACAACTATGTTCAATCTGAACAAATTACACGGAAAATTCATACAATTAATGGTATAAAAACATTTATATTTTTTTAATAAGGCAAAATTGGAGTTCGTCCATTGAGCATGTTTACTTCAATTCTTCAATATTTAACAAGGAAGAAAAAATCTGTTGAAGTAGCTAGAGAAATGCCCAACATTTTTCGGAATCTTCCAGATTTGTTTACATTGTTTTACATTAATCGCTTAATTTTAAACCTTGGAACGACGTTTCGATTGCATAAAGTACTAAAGTAAAAAGATGAAGGCAACGTACGATAAAAAATTGTTTCCAAGATTAACGTTTCACGATTTCTCATTGAACATATTAACGAATATCATAATTCCATAAAGATTTTTTAAATAGTTGGCATCACTGTGTCTATATGGTTGCTATTACTAATATTATAGTAATAATTACTATAAAAATGATATTCCTGACTATAATTATTTTACTGTGCAATTATAGTCGCAAATACTACTTTTCTGTCTGTGTACAGACACACGCATAAAATCGCAAACTAAAATTTAACTCCAAATACAATAACATACAGATACAACGATGAACAAAAATTAATAATGCCGCGTGAAACCGCGACGAGGAAGAACGAGACGAAGCTCAGACCTCAAGTCTATTCTAATTATAAAACGTGTTGAAATGTGCACGATAGGAGATAGAAGGCCAATACCGTCTTGTCACAGTTGTTCTGCCTCGAGTCTGAATAAAACCTTGTACACGTGAGTAATTTCTTTGTACCATTTGCCCGCCGCGCTTTTATTTTCGAGCGGTAACGAAGCTAAGCTATCCATAATTACGCGGATAGCAAATTTATCTCCCGCTGTGCGAAAACCGATAAATGGATGCCCGGGTGTCACATCCGGCGGATGTCGTATCACAATTGATTTGCGTCAAACGCGGAACCTTATCGTTTATCGTGTTCCACCATCGGTTTTTGCACCGCGACGAGCGCGAGTCGACCGGAAAATACACGCGTACAATTTCCATGCGGGGGCTGAAGTTGTCATGCACCACGCGGAGGAAAGAGCGTTTAACGGGGACAAAGAAAGGCTCCTTGCCGCGGGAAAAGTGTACAAATGCTGCTGCACAAATTCCGAAACTCTCCGCCGAGAAGACGCGAAGAAGCGGTAGTCGACGGCGTTCTCGCGGTTGCGAGGCAATTATTCATCAACGTCAGCCGATTCAACGCATACTCATAGTAATTTCAATAATTCACACATACATATGCACGCGCACGCGCGCGCGCACATTATCGTCGCTTATCACAGACGTCTGCGATGGGCAGGTAGTTCCTCGTGAAGAAAAGAAGATATGTCAAATATCCTTACTTTCATGTCTTATTGTTAGCCTGACGTTGCATTCGTCGTACGACAAGTTCTTTTCAAGCGCGTTGATTGGCTGCAAGATAGCAAAATTCTCGAGTAGCTAGAAATTTTCTATTCAGCGGCCAATCGACACGCTTGAAAAGTTTGTCGTACGAAATGTGACATTAGGCTTGGGAACGAAGAGGACCTCGTGTTCTCCAGGACCTTCAAACGGTACTCGGCGCGGTGATCTACAGATCTACTAGATGATCGCATCTTACCTTGCCGTCGAGAAAGGTTGAGCGCTCCGGCAGATCGGCGTTTCTCGCGGGCGTGATCATGGAATCGCCTGGTGAGGGACTCGCTGCCCGTTGCTTGCCTGCCGATCGTGTGTGTTTTCGCGCACAAAAACCACCACGTCGCGCAACTCGACCTCGCACGCTGATCGCCAACAACCGACTGGCGTCTGGCCGTGACTGACCACGACTC